CAATGATCTGAAAGAACTCTCGACACTCGCCAATAGGGTACGAAATTCTTTAGCTACAATTAAACTGTTAAATCAGTCAGAGTATTTATACTCTCCTGAGTTATTCTATGCCGTACTAGGAAAGTTAAATCATACAATGAAAATTAGGTGGACGGATTTTGCCACACAAGATACTACTCGACGTCCTAAGCTTGAATTGTTGTCTGAATTTTTGAGGCGCGAACTAGACCAACACATTCGGTTTGGTCTGTCACCCGAGTCTAGTTCGTTCCAACAATTTAATACCGATAAACAATCATTTAGGCGAGAAAATATTAATACTGTCACGCATATTAAGGGCGAGAATACAAAAATACAAACGGTATGTTCGTTTTGTAAAAAAGATCATAATATTAAGTCATGTTCCAAATTTAAAACTTTATCTGTAGATGAAAGGTGGCAATGGTTACGACAAGCAAAGGTTTGCTATCGTTGTCTAAGAACTAATTCACATCAATGGAAAACTTGTAAAGTAAAGCCATGCAATATAGACGGCTGTCATGTTCGTCATCATCCTTTACTTCATCAATATCCGTCTAGTTCACATAAGGCAAACGTCACACAAGTCACAGATAATAACGTTATAGGTATAGAAAGTACACAATCAATTTCAAATAATTTAAAGTCGTCTGAAGGTAACGTTTTTATATCCACGACTCATACGGGTATACAACATCCTTCTACAGGTTACCGTCCTCACGTGTATTTAAAGGTGATACCTATCACTGTTTCGGGGCCTAAAGGTAGTTGTGATGTATTTGCACTACTTGACGATGGAAGCACCGCTACTTTAATCGATTCTAGTGTCGCGACGCGCATAGGTGCGACAGGGCAACAACGCAAGATTACTGTAAACGGTATTGGCGGTCTTGAACGACATGTTACGGTATCACACGTTAATTTTTACATTAAAGGTAGACACACACAAGAGACATTTTTAGTAAAAAATGCTAAGTCTATGGATTCGTTATCCTTGCAACCTCAAACAATTCGTCGTCAAGATATCGAATCTTTTTCACACCTTATTGATTTAGTCGATGTGTTATCATATGAGGATGCCACTCCAACCGTTTTAATCGGAGCTGAGGACTGGCATTTATCAATTAATCGTGATATTCGTGTTGGAAAGAAGTATGAACCCGTGGCCTGTTTAACATCACTAGGTTGGACGTTATATGGCACTTCTTCAAGTAAAACAAAATTAGTAGAATTTGTAAATCACGGTATATTTATAGAGTCATCTAAGGATGATAATTTAGAGTCGTTAATCAAAGAACAGTATAAAATAAATTCTTTAGGGATTTCTAAGACGGAATCACAACTAAATATACAGGAACAACGCGCAGTTGATATTTTAGAAATCACTTCGAGGCGCTTACCCTCTGGTCGATTCGAGGTAGGCATGCCTTGGCGTCATGATATCCAGCACGTAGGCGAAATATTAGAAAGTTCATCCGTCAATGAATGGCGATGGGTACCAACGGATATGAATGTAGCCGATGACGCGACTAGATTAGGTAGGACTATTAATTTTGATAGTTCACATAGTTGGTTTTGTGAGCCAACATTTTTACATAATTCTCCAGAAAACTGGCCAAAGGAGCCAGTTAATATCGCACCAGTTCTTGAGGAGCTAAAGTGTCAACCACAGGAATTGGTGGGATTCACTTCTTTTAATTCAGATTTGGCTTTTCCAGTCACAGCAAATTTTGATTTCTTCAGTGACTGGACTCGTTTATTACGTGCCACAGCTCGGGTTCATCAAGCTGTAGCTATTTTTAGAGAAATTTTGGCCAATATTCGAAATTCTAAATTAAATGGCGAAGTCTTTCGTTCTCGCCGGCGCTCAACGTCCACTATTCTGCTACCATTAGATGCCGATTTAATTAAAACCGCAGAAAGGCACATCTTGCAGCGCACGCAACTAGATAGTTTTGGAGAAGAATATAAATTGATTCTTAATTCTAAACCAATACTTCGAAATAGTCGCCTGAGCAAACTTTCACCAACTATTGGAGAAGACAAGCTATTACATTTAGCTGGGAGAATTAAAGCCGTAGAGGATGTTGATCCAGACACCAAGTTTCCAATTTTGCTAGATGGTCGCCACCCAGTTGTACACTTGTTAGTACATTTTTACCATTGCCGTGTAGGTCATGCAAACCATGAGTTGGTGATAAACGAGTTAAGACAAAAATTCTGGTTAGTTAGCCTTCGTAATACTGTGAAATCCGTAGCCAGACAGTGTCCGTTTTGTCGAATTCGCAGGGCCTTGCCAATGGATCCTGCCAGAGGAGACCTGCCGCAACAAAGATTGGCACATCATCAACGACCTTTTACATATACTGGAGTGGATTACTTCGGTCCAGTTACTGTAACTATCGGGCGACGTCACGAAAAACGCTATATAGCCTTATTTACATGCTTGTCTTCAAGAGCTATCCATTTGGAAGTGGTACATAGTCTGTCCGCAGATTCTGCGATAATGAGTCTTAGACGTTTTATTGCCAGAAGAGGAACTCCAATCACCACCTTTTCTGACAACGGTACTGCATTTATTGGAGCCAACCGCATTCTTAATGAATTTTACTTATCTGATGTAAAAAATTTTGCGGCTACAAAAGGTATCACTTGGAGCTTTATTCCACCAGCAGCGCCAACTTTTGGAGGGTGTTGGGAGCGGCTTGTAAGATCTGTCAAGGTCGCCTTAAAAGCCACTCTCAAAGAAAGGTCACCCAAAGAAGAAATACTTACGACACTTGTGGCAGAAGCTGAGGCAATTGTAAATTCACGCCCATTAACTCATGTTTCAAGCGATCCTGATGAACCAACCACCTTGACACCATTCCATTTCCTCATTGGTACGTCCTCAAACCAAATAACACCACCATTGGAGGATCGTGACCTAATTGGCCGTTCGGACTGGAGAAAGGCATTAAGGTTGGCTGACCATTTTTGGAATCGGTGGGTGCGGGAAGTCCTCCCCACAATGCAACTAAGAGTCCAAACAAAAGGAACGCAGGATTTGCAAGTCGGAGACGTAGTCTTTATAGTCGACGAGTCTCTACCACGAGGTACTTGGCCACGAGGACGGATCGAAAGATTGTTTCCCGGCAGAGATGGAGTAACACGAGTAGTGGACGTTGCCACAGCAGGACGTACGCTACGGCGCCCCCTTAAAAAACTAGTAAAGTTGACCACTTAAGGTTTGTCTGACCTTGGCCAGTTTAACTAGTTGGTGCAGTTCTGCACGAGGGGCAGGATGTAGCGACTCTTTGCTACATTTTTATATTCTTATTGTCATTCGAAATTTATATATTTTTTTGACATATTGTTTTTACATATTGTTTAAAAATATATTTTGCTAAAGTCTGTCTCCTCATCTTTTCTGTAGTTTTCCATTCTAAAATCCTCTCATTGCATATTAAAAGTATTATCTCCGTTTCAGTAGCATTTCTCTTAAAATATCTACAAAGCCTAACTGCAGTTGCCAATCTGACTGCCAAGCGTGGAAACTACTTGCAAAGCCCCCCAAGGGGGAGACTTATATTTAGCACTAGACTGTTAAAGGCTAAAATGATATTGATGATGGCAAAGATAGCGTAAGTTCCAAAAATCGAAATTTTATCAATCATATAATAATTATCCCAATAATGGCTTTTACCAACAATTTCGTTCGATTGACTGAAATATGTTCATTGACCGGAATAAAGTGTATAAGCCTAAGTCCTTGTCTATCCCATATAGTGCATGTAATACTAAAATTCATGAAAAAAATAATAAAAATTCTTACCAGAGGGAGACTTTGAACAAAAGTCGATTGCTTGGGCACCTGTCCTATTCGTGTTTCTACCGTGAAGCAGTCGTATTTGCATGGCTGTGTTTCGGTTTGAAGGGTGGGATATGGCGTGAATTTACAGAGTACAGAAGAATAACACCTGAATCCTCAGGAATGGCAACGCATGGGGGGTATCATGGGCGAAACAGTATACTCTGTTATGTCCATGGTACTGCTCATGTCTATAGGCGACCGTTACCACTTTCCATCAGGTGGGCCGTCAGCTTGTTTGCCATTCTAAGTTGTATAAAAAAAAGACTAGTTGAGCTATATGTAAGACATCAAGAAGTAGTAAACAAATAACCTCAGTTTCATATCTATAATATTAAAAAGGAGGGTTGATAGTTCAGCAAAGATATTTTAAACCACTGTTGGCTTCGAGTGCCCTCTGTACTCGTCCCTACGCGCATTCCATGAAGCTGAAAAAGCTATTTACAACTTTTTATTGTCTTTCCAAACCGATATTAGCGGGAGGAATGGTTTGTTGGTAATGCGAACTACCAGTCACATTGCTAGCAATATACTCTATCAGGTCGACCTTCACGTGATCCCCCTGGAAACCATCATGTTGTTATTACGATGGGCTAACCTGACCTGCCTTTTCATTTTCACCTATCATTCCTCACTGGTACCCCGCCAACGAATACCGTAAGCGCAGACGGGATTACAACTCCAGTGTTATGGGGGGAAAGGGATTGTTAGTAATGGAGACTAAAAATCCCATTGCTAACAATATACCTAACCAGATCTACCTCCACGCGGTTCCCTCTGGAAACTATCATGATAAATTCTTGATGAATTCATCATGATAAGCTAACTGGCCTGTTTTCATTGTCATCGATCACCCCTCACTGGTGCTCCGCCAGCGTATACCGATAGCGCAGGCGGGGTTACCATTCCATTTTCATCCATTAAAAAAAACTCCAGTATCATCCATTAAAAACGACATCATAACCTTCAAGAAAATAGTTCCTAAAAGTTCCTTTCTAAAAAGCCGGCATTGCATCTGTTATGCTTTTAATATTGCAAGTGCTCGTGAGCGGCAGTAGTCACTTACCATTAGGTGAGCCGTATACTCGTTTTGCCCCCTGTGTTGTAATAAATAAATAAGTAAATTACTTACATCGAAACCTTGCACTGAACGGTAGGTGGTAGGTCTGAGGAGTTTCATTAAAGCAGTACCATCAGTGGGTGATAGGCCAGCCCTCATAGCGGCCGTGGCGGCTCGAGCCCAAAGTGTCACAGCGTCATAAAGATGAGCCGCTTCTATGGGCACCTGTTTGGTGAAAGAAAACAAATTTTTTTAATGAACTACATATACTTTATTGTCAAAAGTTTTATAGGTATACATTATATTTTAAAATAATAACTACCATTTTAACTTGTAATTTGGTCGAGAAATCTCAATTAGTTTCTGGACCATTCGGGACCCTTCATCTTGAGCAGATGTGACGCATTATATTACATTATAGTACACGTAAGTTAAACTGGTAATTATGACATTAAAATTTTAAACTTGGCCTTGTGTATTACAATATGGTTAGAATTGGAATTAATTGGAAGTGACAAAGTCACAAAAGCTTATAAATTTTCTTAATTAAAATGAGGAGATAGATTACTTTTAATCTACTTTAAAAAGTCTAGTCTAATTTAGTCTACTTTGAAAAAGAGACTGGTCTTAATTTCAATATTTTTTAATACAATTTAAAATAGCAAAGAGCTAACAACCAGAGATAGAGTTGCCGTGCCTGTTACTAAGACACCCTTTTAGGTCGAGCTTCACGCAGTCCCTCATGAAAATCAACGTGGTCAATTCGTAACCATTTCTGTGATCTAAGATCGATCCTGTTTTTTTTTTTTTGTAATAATTAAAGATTGTGTCCCACAAAAAAAAAACTGACTTCAATTATGATGAAACAAGTTATTTTAAAAACTAAAATACTAAACTGATTTTCATAAAATGTCCATGGGTCCAATCTGTAAGTATATCCTTTCAAATAAAGAAAGGAATTATCCGAACCGGTTTAGAATTGACGGAGTTATACGTGAGAAACAAAAAATTTACAACCGAATTTAGAATCTCGTACTATTTGGAGTGAGTTGAAAATAAAAAAAATACATGACATTTCAACGATTGAAGCAGCTTAGCTGTAGCTTAGCAACTACAATAAATAAATTGTAATATTGATATATTACAATTTACACCAAAGAGAGAACAAACACTTGACACGTCTAGGAAAATATTCTATGATTGTCATACAATATTATCAAATTACGATAAATCTGAGAGCACTGTTTAATAGTGGTACGTAGGTGTACAAGGGAAATTGAATTAAGCTTTATGCTTGATAAGGGTACGGCAAATATTTCCTATGCTTTTGTGGTGGGCGACTAATGGACAGAAACACGAGCAAACGCAAAGTTTGACGTATTTCAACAATTCAGTCTACTGATGAATAACAATATTATAGACTTGCTATACTACGCGTAACTAGTGTGTGTAGGCTACTAATACCAACCTATTTCAAACCTATATAGTTGTATGACGTATTACTGGCCATCACAATACGCCTTTTATATAACTGGCCATCATATTTCGTCTTTCATATTTTTATATTTCTATTGTTCTTATGTTTTTAGAATTCTATCATTATTAGTCTTTGTTTTCCTACCGATGAAGACGTGATAAAAGAGAACTACAATATTAAGCATTTTAATTCATCAACCCGTTTCTCTTAAGTTGTAAAAAAATAAATAGTGACATTCTTGACAATCTTCTTGTCTTAGCAATTAATTTTTGTATCACGACTTATTATATCTGGATTTTTTTTATACCATTGAGGTGGCAAACAAACATATAGCACAGCTGATGGTAAGCGGTTCCCGTAATCTATCAACACTTGCAATACCAGAGGTATTACGTGCGCGTTGCCGACCCTGAAGAAACCTTTGTACCTCCTTTTGAAGAACCCCATGATGCTGTAGTCTCTTAGGAAAACCTCGGCAGGGAGCTCATTATTTATGTATTGTAAATATTATTCATTATACAATCTCGTACTAAATCTTTCTTTCTCTCACTCCTTCTGAATATATATATATATATATATATATATATATATATATATATATATATATATATATATATATATATATATATATATATATATATATACACGTGAATCAGTATAAAGTATTTTGAGTTAAGATATAACGTATCCCTGTAACATATTTCATTTAAACCCAAGTACATTTTGTGTGATAGAGACATATAAAAAATATCTATTTATCCATCTGCCATTACAATATTTTGCATCTATTATATAATATTAACAATATGAATAGGCATGTGAATGAATGTAGATATTGATTCTATGGGAAGTAGTTAAGCATTAAGAGAGAAATTTAAGGAAACAAATGTTCTCGCCGTAACTTCACAATTCTTCGCAGGGGGAAAAGGATTGTTAGTAATGGGGTCTAATTTCCCCATTACTATCAATACACTCTATCAGGTCGACCTCCACGTGGTTCCCCCTGGAAACTCGTGGTTTGTTCTAATGGATTCTATTCTGATGGAATTCGTCACGATGGGCTAACTGACCTGCTTCCATCGTCACCTACTGGTGCCTCGTCAACGTATACTGATAGCGCAGGTGAAGTCACCATTTCATCATCACCCATTACAAAAAATACATATATGCAAACATTTTTTATATATCTTCAACAATTTCCTAAAAACAGCGATCTTAATAATCTTAACTCTCAATATATCAACTCAAACTTACTTTTCCAAAGTATCGTTTAGAAAAAGTTAATGGGTCTTTTATGGGAATAGACATTAAATGTTATAATAAGATACCGAAGGTTATTTTGGATCTGCCTTTTAATAAGTTTAAAACTGTTATTAAGAATACTTATTGAGCAAACCCTATTTATACACTAAACAATTACTTGAATGACAAATGTGCATGGTGTTAATCGATCATGCACGGGATTTTAACGACTATGTAACTAAAGACATAGCATTCAAGTATTCTGACACTTCCCTATGGTTGATTGGGAGAATGCTTTTAGCATTATGTCCGCCATGTACACATATTTGTACTAATGAATAAATAAATAAATAAATATACATAATGTTAACAGAGATTTAAAAGAGTAACTGTTGAGTTTCTTGCGGACTCTTCTCAACAGATAACAACATTCCGAACCCTGCAATACTTAAATAAAAAAAATGACGATTTAAAAGTGCTTGCAAACAAGTCTATTGGAATAAAAATAATTTAAATTTGAATTTGATACCGGGGGAGACCTAAACTAACTTATTATGATCAAATAAACCGTGTTCTTTCTAAAGGAGAAATCAAGAGACTCCGGAACCGACGTGCAGACATGAATCGAGTTATGAGAGTGCAGAATTCAATAGATGTATGTATAGATAGAAATATTTGGCACTTGGTTCTCTCTGTCTACCCTGCAAGGAACTTGGCGTGAAGATAGATAAATAAATAAATAACAAATTGTTTTCTATACCGTTTCTATATGTAGGTATATTATATTTATTATATAACATCTGTAGTTTCTGTTAAAAGCATTCATAATGATTGACCGTACTTCCAGAAATTCTTTAAACTGAGGGCCTACCATGAAATGTTTCCCGAAATTTCGGAGCCAAACGAAACACAAATATAATGTTAAAATTACATAATACATGCTGTTTGGACATATTAAAAATGTTAAAATATTGTTCCTTTGGATTTTTATGATAGGATGTATAACAAAGGAAATGTTAAACTCCATTTATTGATCCGATTTTGGTATAAACAAAAACACGAAATTGAGTCCGAAATTTCGGAATTTTATTTCATGGTAGACCCGCTGGGTCTATAGTACGTATTATATAAATAGTGTCTACGTCGAACTTATGTGTTAATATCTAAAATCAATTTAACAATTTTAAATATTAATTATTAAAAGAGTACTCTGCAATAATCATGTAACAAAATCAATCTTTTGCTAAAAATTTAAATTTTAAATTTGAAACTTATAAAACTATCATACATACATACATACATATCTGTCACGCCTGTCATTTGTTGTTTTTAAAGTATTGCATTTATGTATTACGTATTACGTTCTCAATTTGGTGGTTAATTTTTATTTTTTTATTTTTGTTATCTCGTAATTCGATCAGTTATAAACAGATTAGTGATTTTTTTTTATTTAAAAAGATATGCTTACAAATTAGTTCCATAATTTTTTTTTTAAATCGTTTCAGTGGTTTAATTTTTAAATCGAAATAATTTTTGGTACATTTAAAGTGGATTTTTTATGAAACACAATTTAACTACCAATTACTTTATTTTCCTGAATAATGCAAACACTAAAGTATTTCGTTTAACTGAATATTCGATTATCCGGACTTATTTTCCACTGGTCTAATTGCCGATTTAGAAATGGTAATATGTATTAATTGGGTAAATAGGTATTATATTATATAATCCATTACCTTTATAGTTCGTAACTTTTTTACATCGTATTGTCTAAATGACGTATGTAAAACCTTTACATAATTAAAAAAAATATTAAAATTTAATTATTTTTTTATTTGATTTTGAAACCTCCTATCCAAATTTTCGATTATACAGAATACTTTTTATATTATTCGGATAATCGTGATTCTACTGTAATATTCTTGCTGCATAAAGATTTAACTAATACATAACAAATACAGAAATGCTGGCTAGAAATATATACAATTCTGTGGCATCTTGTAAAACAATATATTTGTTGTCAACCTTAATACAATGTTAATGTGACAGAATACCTTGGACTATCGCCAGGACAGCCAAGGACGAACAGGCTTTCCCACTAGCTAGAGACACGGCTTATTTTTTCTGACAATGGTTTTCCAATAATATATTTTCCGATAGATTTTTATTTGCAGTATTTCTTAGATATTGTATGAAGAGACTTGTTGATATTTATTGAATACGTACATCAAAACATTTATTACACAGTACTTACGGGATTGGAAAATAAACTGGTGTCTATTTAGTAAAGGAAGCATTGTAGAAAAGCATAACTCCATTACTGACATGAACGCAAAAGTTTATAAAAGTGGATGTTTGTTACTCTTTTACGCAAAAACTATTGAAAAAAATTGAAAATAAGTTTGTACCTAGATTAACTACCCTAAGACATAGGATATTTTATATAATAATTTACACGTGAGAAGACACAAGATACACTTAGTAAATGATAAATAATTACTTCACTGAATAAAATACTATGTAGGAAAATTTAGTTTATATTAGGTAATTCTAAATTCAATGATATATACGTACAACAATCATATCAGTCTTTAACTGTACACTGCTGAACACAAGCCTCCCCTTGTGGGATTTTGCCAGTAGCTGTCACGGTTGCCAGGGAGATTGGCAACCACAGTTAGACTTTGGAAATATTTTAAGAGGGAAGCTGCTATCTATCCCTCACCATCCCTTAGTCGCCTTCTACTACACCCACGGGAAAGGAAGGGATGGCCTATTCTTTGCCGGGACCACACGGTCGTACAGTAATATTAACCTCAAATCATAATCTAAGTCTGAACTTTATACTACACAATATACAAAATTTTTAAATAAATATTGTGATATTTATTTACAAATTTTGTACATTACATATATGCGAGGCCAATATATATTGGCCTCACAGTACATGTAAATACCATCACTTAGTTACCATTCCATTTTCATTTATTAAAAATAAATCAAAATTAGTTCAGTAGTTTATTTTTTAAATCAAAATAAAAAAAAATGATATTGCAATATTTTATTGCAATATGCACCAGAGGGAGACTTTGTACAAAAGTCGATTGCTTGGGTACCTCCGTCCCATTCGTGTTTCAACCGTGAAACAGTTGTGTTTGCATAGCTGTATTTTGGTTTGAAGGGTGGGATATGGCGTGAATTTACAGGGTACAGAGGAATAAGATCTGAGTCCTCAGGAATGGCAACGCATGGGGGGTATCATGGACGAAACAGTATACTCTGTTATGTCCATGGTTACTGCTCATCCACCACCACCACGTACCACGTTCCATCAGGGGGGCCGTCAGCTTGTTTCCCATTCTAAGTTGTATAAAAAAAAATGTTAACACAATTAAAAGATCTTATAAAATGTCATAATTATAAGAATGTCACTCACCGATGCATCTTCGAAGAGTTTGTGGTAATTGGGCACGCAAAATGGCGGCGCAGCCGACAGCTCTCTTATCATTTGACAGAGCAATCTGAAAGTAATTTAAACCATTTATAAAATGATAAATATGATATATACCTTCTAACTGATATTTAAAAATGACTTGTAGCCATTTTTTCGTGTCTCTGATTCTATTTATTTATTTATTCTTTATTATACACACTAATTATACATAAAAATATGACAGAGATAACCAAATGTACAAAGCAGTCTCTTCCAACTAACCCAAAGTAGTAAGTAGTAAGGTATTAATGTTACATAGAAAAATAATTTTTATATCAATATATTGTGAACTGATATTAAACAAATTTATTTACTTTTTCGTTTTATAACATTTAGTACAAATTCAGCATTAAAAAAGAGCGTATTTCTTAAAAAGGGTCCCCTTTTCTACCGATAAGACTGTAAGAGGGAAACAATGTTTGCCAGGTTTACTAGTATTTTAATAATAAATTTTATCGTAGTAACTTTTTTCTGCTTTTACTGATTAAAACTGATCAACAGAACAAATTTCCTGAAAAAAAACGTGCGTCGAAAAACAATAGAAAATGTTGAAATGCTTGAACTAAATTTTTCCAAATGTGAACTTTTCATTCCGGATAGTTTATCTAATAAAGATGAAGTAATTTCTAAATTTAACACCCTGGCTCCAAATATCAAAATTTTAAATGAAAGTTCACTTCACCTCCTTGGATCACCTATTTTTGATGAATCTTTCCCCAGCTTTGTGGAAAACAAAATTAGTAAGTTCTGTTCAAATTCCGACCGCCTCCTAAATATCAACACTCACATCGCATATAATATTATTCGATACTGCCTTTTTGTACCCAATTTTACTCAAGTTCTTCGTAGTACACCCTTTTGGAAATATCCAGACCTCACCGCAAAATTTGATGAAAAAATAAAGTGCATTCTGAGCTCCCTCTTTAATATCACTTTCGAAGACCGTATATGGACTCAGGCCTCTTTGCCGGTCAGGCATGGGGGCCTGGGAATCCGCCAAATCTCCCATATCTCTCTACCAGCTTTTCTATCATCAGCGCACGGTACGCAGAATCTCGTGAAAAAAATACTAACACCTTTTTTCGGTGATTTCGAGATAGCTTACCTGCCTGAGGCTAGAAAAGCTTGGTCTCTGGCTTGTCCCAATGTAGCTTCTCCCATAAATCCCAAAATCCAGAGGCAATGGGATGAGCCCATTAATGATTTATACAGAACTTCGTTACTAGACTCTTCCCAGAACTCTGCTGAAAGCGCCCGTCTTCTCGCGGTGTCCAAATGGGAATCTGGCCTTTGGTTACACACAATTCCCTCACCTCATATCGGAACATTATTGGATAACGCAACGTTTAGACTCTCAATCTCTCTCAGATTGGGGGCCAAAACGAATGCTCCCCATTACTGCAGGTGTGGGGACAACGTCAGTGCCTTGGGACACCATGGCCTATCTTGCCTTAAGAGTGCTGGGCGCTTGCTGCGCCACTCAGCTATTAATGACATTCTCCGTCGGGCTCTTGTCACCGCGGGCGTGCCTGCCATTCTAGAACCTCCTGGTTTGATACGTGACGATGGCAAGAGACCTGACGGGATGTCCTTGGTACCTTGGAGGATGGGACGTCCGCTTGTATGGGACTTCACCTGCGTTGACACGGTGGCACCGTCTCACCTTCCAAGTACATCCAAGAGGGCTGGTGCCGCCGCAACACACCAGGAGTCTATCAAGCGCCGTAAATATTCATCCCTTGGTAATGGATATATATTTGCGGCGTTTGGAGTTGAAACTCTGGGTCCGTGGGGCCCCGAGGCCATGAATCTTTTCAAAGAGATCTCACGCCGGCTGGTGGAAACCTCTGGTGATCAGAAGGCTGGCCTATACTTTGGTCAACGCATTTCCATTGCTATTCAGCGTGGAAATGCAGCAAGTATCCTAGGCACTCTACCAGCTGGCAGTGATCTCAAAGAAATTTTTTATCTTTAATTATATATATTTTTAATTTTTTTAATGTTATATTGGTTTAAGTAATATTCTGTTATTATTTCTTCTTGTAAATAAAGTTATATTCAGTAAAAAAAAAAAAAAAAAAAAAAAAAAAATAGAAAATTAAGACTTCTATAACAGAGTATATAAATAATTTCATACTTTAACGAAAAGGTAACCACGCTTTCTAAAAATTATTATTTTTAAACCTTATGTTCGTTTTTATTCAATAACTATATAAACACAAGAGATTACTGTACTCGCAGTGTACGAGGCGAGACGTTGTGACGCAAAGCGCTAAACGGTCCCTGAAAAAGACTTCCGGATTAAGCCGAAACAATAATCGGAAACGACAAAAATACAGTTCATTAATATCTCTCATATTTATATAGAGATTTTCTAGAAATTGTTACAAAAACACTCTATAAATAAAGTTAGATTATATATATTTAGTTATAGTTAGTTATAGTAAGCATTTGCCAATATGTCTAAAACCTAGCATTCTGTACTATCCACCTAGTGACCTACAATTTTTCAGTAGCATAAACATAGTAATCTTATTTTCTAAGCTTGTGTTTATTTTCATCCGATGTCTACATGCACATGTTACAATTCTCATTCACATGTTACAGAGTTCATTAATTTCCCATTACATATGTATACAGATAACATAGTAATCTATATAATTAAAAGTCAATCGCTAAATATATGTATGTAAGCGTATCACTTCAGAATAGTTGCACCTATTTGGCTAATTCTATTTTATTGTTTGTAGTTGTCTGAACAAGTTATGTATAAAAGTAAGTATTTGAAAAATTGTACGGGAAAAAATCAATGCGATGCCGAGACGAGAAGCTACTAAAATGTAATATCCTATTGCAATGGTAAAAATTCGGAGAAAATCTTTTTATGCAATAGTGAAAAAAATTACAAATATACAGAACACATATAGAAAGTTTGCTGAGGTTTTAGATTCATAACAGTTTTCCTATACAGTTGTAATTTGTCTATGAACATAGAGAAGTTTGTCGTCTGATAGCTGTTCCAGAACTGGCAAACAGCCAGTGTCGGACCTTCAGAATTATGAGTCTGGGAAATTGGTATAACGAGCAACGACTAGCTTTGAATGCTTTGAGCCACGGACTTAATGATATATTCTGAGACTTCAAATTAATTAGATTATTCTATATCTATATGAAAAAAATGAAAAAATCTATGAGTTACCCATTTGAGAACTGGACCCGCCATGTATATGAGATAGTGTTGCCATATTAGCTTTTTTCTTTCATAAAAATTTAGGTAAAAAAATTAGAAAAAATAATTGAGTAAAAATTAAAAAATCGCATTTTTAAGTTAACGGTCTCCCATTACCGTCACCGTACCTTCTCTTTTTAAAGTCGCTTAATATGCCTGTTCCATAATCTACTTCGCCTGAAAGTTTTTCCTTTATTAAATATTTTCCTTTTTAATTCCAACAAGATTACGGACTCCCGACGATAGTTTAAAAATTAGGCTATAATGGATTTTCCATAACTGGATTATCCAGTTTAGATGGATAAATTTGAAAATGATGTTATCATGTTCATTTAATCTTCTATGTACTAAAAATAGCTTTATCGTCTTTGAATACATTTATTTTTCCCCTGTAAAAGCACAAATAGGTATTATAATAATAGATATAATAGATGTCGCTACTGGTAACTTGTCAATTTTTAAATGACTTCCGAAAATATTAATTTCTCAGTTTTTAGGTTCTCAATTCAGCTGTTTTTTTTTTTTTGTTGTCTTGTAACTCCGTCAACTGTGTGTCAATTTGGAGAATACTTTTTTATCTGAATGGACACAGATTACAAATTGGTCCTAAAATTTATCAAAGTTAATCCAGTAGTTTAATTTTTAAATAAAAATGACTGATTCTGCTATAACTGAAGAGATTTTTTTTTGTAGAACACAATATTAATGGACACATGTTTCTTTAGAAGAAAAATGTTCATTTATACTAATAGAAGGCTGATAAATATTTCAATTTGACCTATAGAACAATTTGTGTTTATTTTTTAAATAGTGTCGTTTGTTTTGTAGCCAGTTAAAAACAACAAAAGTATTTGAACGTACACTATCAAGCATACTAACAACATACCTCCAGCTGTGAAATTAATACTTTGGCCTTAGAATTTGCTAATATGTTGGGAAAATTAAAAAAAAAAACAAGCTTTTAAATCAACTTGTGTAATGCTTGTTTCTCAAGTTAATGGCATTAAAAAAATACGCTGCTATCTATCATCATATCAGCCTTTAACTGTGCATTGCTGAACAGAAACCTCCCTCTTGGAATGTTTTAAGAGGGACGCTGCTGCCCATCCTTCGCCTATCCCTTTCCCATAGTCGCCTCTTACAACGCACACGAGAAAAGAAGGGATGACAACTGTGTTACGGTCAGGTCAATTATTCGTAATTTCTATTGAAGTAAGCTATAAACACTTTATTTGTGAGTATAAACATTTGTTTCTACGTCGTTTAAAGCTAATAATAGTAAATATATCAGTACTTACTAACTACGAACTAAGAACTAGTAAAAATGCTCTAATAAAGATCTCTGTTAAACTGCGTTTACAAATTATTGATGTAAATGGTACTTTCAAAAGTCCATGCAAATATGTGTACGTCAATAAATAAAAAATGATTTATTAATCTGTCTTCACACCAGATCCATTGCGGGTGGGCGGAGAAATTACAAAAAAAATTTGAAATAAATTATCTCTGTAATATATACATGGACACAATTGAATATAAAACTTGTAGTAAAGATAAATTTTGATTTCTCAACGTTAACAATACCTATCACTAGTTTTACGCACTTGTTACATATTTATTTTAAATTATATTAATTTTCTTAAATATCTTGTGTCAAAATGTGTACCTACATTTATTAATAAAAATTAAAATAACTACTTTAAATATAATAAAGTATTAAAATTATTATTATACCGAATTTGGTAATAAATTATTCTTGTAATGTACCTATATAAAACACTAATTTATATATATTTATTGAAAAAAAAAACAAAGGAATATTATGGCGCGTGAAAAATTATTATTGTTCGTTATTCGTCATTGAACTTAAAAAGTAGAATTGTGTTTTTGATTTTCGCGCATTGTTTGAGAAAAATACTATACAAGCCTTGGCCACAACTAGGCATTGATGGACTCACATATGTGTACCTCGGCTACGCCTCGGCCAACGTTTGCACGTTCGTCCATCAATGCCTCAGTCGTTGGCCCCTGCAGTAATGTACTAATATTGTATAAAGTCCAGATAGATATTTGGTTTCTACAAATGTAATTATTTTACAATACAATTATTACATAATATGTACATATTATGTAATAATTGTACATATAATAAAATGTACAAAATAATATGTACATATAAATTGTACGTTGTAACGTACAATTTATGCTATATGTCTTTAAATTATTAATTGTTAAATAAAATTAATAGTTTTGAGTTTCGATTTATAATCGTATACAGAATCGATACAATTGACGTAACGTGTAAACGTTACGTCAAATATAATATAGATATCAAATACAATAATATTTTCTTGATTACATTGCCAGTCTACACACACACACACATATATATGTAGGGTATATATAAGGTAGGCTGTAATTATTATTTGAAGTAAGTTATTTAATCTATAAATCAATACCATATAAGGTGGTCAGAATTGCTTAAGGAGTTAATAGAAAAAAAGGCTTGAAAGAAGCTTTAAAGGAATAGAAAGAGGTGAAAAGATTTTATCATTTAAGTTATCAAAACTGATTTTATCAATTTAATAAAATGTTACTTTATAGTTAATAAACAAGTGAGAATATTATTTTGTGTAGGTATAATTTACAACCTATACATGTTTCGATACTCGTAAACATGTTTATTTCCAAACCAATAAACATGTAAGGAAGTTCGCTAGATAATTTACAAATAAATTTTTAAAAGGACATTATTTTCAAACATTAGTACATCTATTTTTTTTTTTTTTTATTTATAAAAGATACACCAATAATAATATGTTCATAATAATTAAACAGACTATGTGCAATGTTATAATAAGTAAATTTACTTGAATATTTCTTTCTTTCTTTCTAAGCTTAAGGCTCGATGAACCTACCAATTAAAGGCATATCTTACAGATAAGTGTTAATGTATACCAAAGTAACAATCATACAATAAGTAAGACTTAAGTATTTAAGGTATAAATGTGCCATTTCTTTTGTTATTGAAAATATAAATCAGGTAAGTATATATACACAGGTCGCCCATTGTTTTCTCATTGTGATTATTTCTTATAATTATTTATATTTATAATAAGTTTACTATTGTAATCTTTTGAAGGGAACAATAAAGAGTATCTATCTATCTATCTATCTATTTATACACATATAGTATATATACATATAGTAGAAATATTTTTTTTTAATTTAGACAAAAAATCGACTTCAGTTCAAAACCAGTAAATTTTTTTTATGCAACTTAGAATGGCAAACAAGCTGACGGCCCACCGTCGCCTATAGACTTGAGCAGTACCATGGACATACTGTTTCGCCTATGATACCCCCTATGCGTTGCCATTCCTTAGAAATCAGCTGTTATTCCTCTGTACCCTGTAAATCACTGCTGTTAACAGTAGAAACACGAATGGGACGGAGATGCCCAAGCAAACTACTTTTGTATAAAAGCTCCCTTTGATGTTATTTTAATTTAAACAACTAAAGAATTGAACAAATTGTGATAAAATTTCTATGGAACCAATCTATAAGTATAATCTTTCAGATAATCAATTTTCCAAATTGGTTTACAACTGACAAAGTTGTGATAAATATTAAAAAAAAACAATATAATTCAATTAAGAACCTCTTATTTTCAAAGTTGGTTGAAAGTAATATACTAAGAGAAAAACTCCTTTTTGAAGTCACATAAATATATTAAAGTTTACCTGCTCAGCGAACAAAGCTATAAGCAGTGTAATGGCCTAATAAGTGGGAGCCATTAAGACGGTACAAGTGCGTAATGGGAATAAACAAACCCATTGCTATATATATATACCACGATGGTTTCAAGGGGAAACCGCGTGAACGTCAACCTGATAGGGTATTGTTAACAATAGGGACTGACCTCCCCATTACTAACAATCCCTTCCCCCTATCTTTCCCTACTTTCCATCAGGTGGGCCGTCAGCTTGTTTGCCATTCTGTTGTATAAAAAAAAAGATAACTTGTACCTCCCTGAGGTCGAAAAACATTTTCCAAAGGTGTCTTTTACTAAGGTGTCTCTGAATAACTTTTCATAGTATCTTTACATAGACATCACTCTGACAACCAAAATTTAACCAAATAAATATTCCACTGTTTATGTTTATTTTACTTTATTAAAAAATATTTAAAAAATGTATATAAATTTAATAATTCACTAGCTATTCCCCATAACATGTGAACACCATGGATATCACAAAATAAACATGTATACCTCATGAACGAAACAAAGATGTTATTGCAAATGACTTTATGTATGGTCTCGCGCTGATGAAATTATATCAAATGCTTAACTAGTCAAGGGGGAAGGGATTGTTAATAATATGAGCTTTTAGTCCCATTATGTACTTACAATATACTCTGTCAGGTAGACCTCCACGTGGTCTCCCTGGAAACCATCACGCTGAATTCCAGTGTACTCATCACAACGGGCTAACTGACCTGCCCTTTCATTTTCACCTATCATTCCTTCCTAGTGCCATGCCAGCGCATACCGATAACGCAGGCAGGGTTACCGTTTCATTATCAACCATTAAAAACAAATGGTTCGTCATATACCATCATAGTTGCGGCCGTCGATTGTCTATTTCTGAACGTACATATAATACGTATGCATAGAAATAGGATATTTAATGGAAAATAATCTATTACGAATCTCAATTCAAATTTAATACGATTTCGAGGAAAACATTCCATCTTGATTATCTCATACTGTAAATACACTTATAATTAAAGCGTATAGTGCGTAATTCAAAGAGAAATAAATTACATTGCCAGTAACAAAAGATCCATTCCAATCTATCCATTCCAACACATGGGGAGGGGGGGGGGGGGGATATCATGGGCGAAACAGTATACTCTGTTATATCCATGGTACTGCTTATGTCTAGAGGCGACGGTTACCACTTTCCATCAGGTGGGCCGTCAGCTTGTTTGCCATTCTGATTTGCATAAAAACACATGTAACTTAAGATGTTTATTGTTAAATTTTCGTAAGCACACATTATATTTTAATGTAACCACTACCGGTTCAACTTACGTGTAATTAACTCGAGAAAGTTCGACTAGTTTCGGGACCATTCGGGACCCTTAGTCGTGAGCAACATCATTCAAACGTTTTAATTATACATAAATTAAACCAGAGTTATTGCATTAAAATATAACTTAGGACTCACATAAGTAACAGTCCTGAGACACCTGCGTCTACTAATTTCATACAATGCATTTGAGGTCGTCGTTCAATCTAGTGGGGGTTATATTACACTGCATTTGTGTTTGCGGGTTTTTTTTACTTTTTACCCATCATATATCATTATCATCATCATATCAGCCTTTAACTGTCCACTGCTAAACATAAACAATCTCCTTGGGAGGTTTTGCCAGTAGCTGCCACACTTGGCAGGTGAATTAGCAACCGCAGTTAGATTTTGCAGATTTTTGAAGAGGGACGCTGTTGCCCATCCCTCACGTTCCCTTAGTTACGACACCAACAGAAAAGAAAAGGGTGGTAGACCAGCCCTTTCTTTCCAGTTGCTGTTGGTGTTGTGGCGTTGGTGGTCCCGGCACAGAATCTATTCTACCACATGACCACACGATCACCATAGATACTTACGAGTAATGAGGGTTCGTCGGAAATGATGGAGTCAGCTTGAGAACTGCCCGGAACGCCAGGATATCGGTGCTGCTGTTTTGGCCCAGGTGGTCTATGAAAGAAATAAAAATTTATTAATTATCTATTATTACCTATACCTATATTAATCTATACTTATAATAAATCTGTAGAGAGGTCATTTCTGTACATGAAATATATTTCCAAAATAACTATCAGGCGGTGATTAGTGATAGATACTGATGCCAAAAATGCAATTAGTAAAATTTTTGTCTGTCTGTCTGTATGTTCGTTATAGAAACAAAAACTACCAAACGGAATTTAATGAAACTTGGACTTTTCATCACGCTACGATCAATAGGAGCAGAGCAATGAAGGGAAATGTTGGGAAAATAGGAGAAGTTACTCCATTTTTAAGCTGCCGTCGCGTGTGCAGCCTTAATGGCCACTTTTAAAAATGTAAAAATGTCCACCCGTGCGAAGCCGGGACGGGCCGCTAGTAAATAATAAATAAATAAATAGTAAATAAATAATAATTCATAATTCACTGCTCATCTCAAAGATTGATTCGATCTAATCTTACTAATAGAATAAAATTATGATTATAGTCGATATCTCTGCGAGTACGTAGAAGATCTTATTAGATATTAATATTTAAATCCTTAGATATTAAAATCCTTCATATTGATTTTTATTAAATAAAAATCAATATGAAGGATTTTAATATTGTCTGTCTATCTGTATGTTTTTTCTTAGTATTACATAAAAACTGCATAACCAAATTAGATGCAAACATCAAACTCACTTTTTTTTCATGCTACTTAGAATGGCAAACAAGCTGACGGCCCACCTGATGGAAAGTGGTAACCGTCGCCTATAGACATGAGCAGTACCATGGACATAACAGAGTGTACTCTTTCACCCATGATACCCCCAATGTGTTGCCATTCCTGAGGACTCAGGTATTATTCCTCTGTACCTTATAAATTCACTGCCATATCCCACCCTTCAAACTGAAACAGCAATGCAAACACAACTGCTTCACTTTTACAATATTAGTAAGGATTCACGAGAGCATTTCACGTATGACATCAGAGTTTGCAATTAAATACTGTGCACAATATACGCATATTAATCGTATAAAGTAAATAAATATCTCATGGTAACTGCAGTACGTGAACGGAATAAACTGTATACCGTTTACATAACTGCAAATATCACGTAACCGACGTGCTTGTATAAATAAATAGATGAATGTTGATAAAATTCAAGTGAAAATTAATAATCTTACTAATATCAATTAGTATTGTTTTTTATACAACTTAGAATGGCAAACAAGCTGACGGCCCACCTGATGAAAAGTGGTAACCGTCGCCTATAGACATGAGCAGTACCATGGACATAACAGAGTATACTGTTTCGCCCATGATACTCCTCATGCGTTGCCATTTCTGAGGACTCAGGTGTTATTCCTTTGTACCCTGTAAATTCACTGCCATATCCCACACTTCAAACACAACTGCTTTACGGTTGAATGGGACAGAGGAATATTTACAATATATTTTAAATATATTATAAATAATCTTTATAATTTTACGTACACGTATGCGAATTATTATTTATTTATTCATATTACAAAAAGATTTGGCTTATAGTTTTACGACCGGCCGCCTGCCTGACGTCAACAATCCAATCTGGGAACGGAACTTGGACGTTCTGGACGTAACGTTTGGGAATGCATTTAATTTTTTTTTAATATATATACGTATATATATATATATATCTATATATATATATATATATATATATATATATATATATATATATATATATATATATATATATATACGGACAATAAACTCATATAAGATGTATGCTAAATTAACATATGGAAAATTAGTTTCTTTATTAAGTGCACTCAATCAGTAATTACACGGTTTCATATCTTATGTATTCAGCCATTCACCCAATTTTATAATATTATATGTAAAATAAGAATTAATGTGTTTATTACCATTTTTTACAAATGCATTACAGTAATTACAAGATTAGTAGAAAATATATTAATAAATATATTATGAAGTACCGGTATGCCTGACAATAGGTTAATAGGCACAAACTGACCTTTTGCTGGACTCCTGCAAGATATATACAAATATATAAAATATTTTCTTATTATTTGACAACACAACATATATATATATATATATATATATATATATATATATATATATATATATATATATATATATATATATATATATATATATATATATATATATATATATATATATATATATATTCTTTATTACACTAAAACATACAGTAACAACAATAAGTTAATAACAATGTTAGCAAAGGAAAAAAATATTATTAAATCTAAGATTAAAACATGGAAATCATACACCAACATTTATTGCGTATTTGAAAATATTTCAAAGCGAGAGAGTTTTGAAGCTGCACCCTCTATACCAAATCAGGTTAAGTGTTACTCTTCAACAAATCCTCAAGAGTTTCAACGCATGAACGGTCATCAAAGTATACCACACTGATTACAGTATGGTATATTAATTCATTGTACTATTCAAATCTATAGGCAACAGTTACCACACTTCATTAGGTGCGTTGTAAGCTCATTTTCTATTTAATTAAATACAAAAATTTAATACCTAGCACTCGTATATACCAGAAATATGTAATTGTTTTCTCCTATATTTACAAAGTTTCGCAAAAATACCGAAATTATATTTTATTTCTGTAAAATTTCTTAAATTTAAGCCATAAAAGTTGTGTTGCTATATACAGTCAATGCAATAAATTCGTATCATAATTAGTTAGTTACTAAAACTAAACACTCGGTTAGTTAGTAAAACTAAACAATCGGTTAGTTAGTAAAACTATACACTCAGTTAGTAAAACTAAACAGTCGGTTAGTTAGTAAAACTAAACACTAGGTTAGTTAGTAAAAGTAAACACTCGGTTAGTTAGTAAAAGTAAACACTCGGCTAGTTAGTAAGACTAAACACTCGGTTAGTTAGTAAAAGTAAACACTCGGTTAGTTAGTAAAACTAAACAATCGGTTAGTTAGTAAAAGTAAACACTCGGTTAGTTCGTAAAACTAAACACTAGGTTAGTTAGTAAAAATAAACAGTCGGTTAGTTAGTAAAAGTAAACACTCGGTTAGTTAGTAAAACTAAACACTAGGTTAGTTAGTAAAACTAAACAATCGGTTAGTTAGTAAAACTAAACACTCGGCTAGTTAGTAAGACTAAACACTCGGTTAGTTAGTAAAACTAAACACTCGGCTAGTTAGTAAGACTAAACCAACTTATAATGTTTTATTATGAAATTTTAATTATTTTATTCGATTCCATTCATTTAAAGGCTGTTTGCTTTACATCAGTTATTTATATTGACTAATTTCAGCATAGTCTTTTAGGTTTCAACACCATCAAAACATAACAGTACAACCTGGTATTGCAGGCGTCAGTTGGCTACAGTGATCGTTTACCATCAGACAAGCTGTATGCTTCGGCTTTTGGCCACCTTTTTTAATATAAAAAAATATATAATCAATTTAGTGGAGAAAATTTATGTATTTCATGAATTATTTTTCTACGTAACACTGTCGACGCAAAAGGGAGATAACAAAATACACTGTGTCATGAATAAGTTTTACGCAACAGTATCTCCCTTTTCTTTTAGGGTATCTACGTAATTGTTTGTGAGACCGTCTGGTAGTAGAAATTTCATATAGGGCTGCCCATTTTTATTTTTAAGTGACTCAAAAAAAAAGCTTTCCTGAACTCAGTGGCATTTTTATTTATATAAAAATGTTATCTATTTGTTTAATATGAAAATAAAATTATATTCCCGTATTATTAAAGGGATTATTAGTAATGAGGTCTAATAGCCTCATTGCTAACAATATACCCTTTAAGGTCGAACTCCACGCGGTTAATTCTTGTCGAATTCATCATTGTAGGCCAACTGACTTACAGTCATTCTCACCTATCATCTTCCACTGGTGCCGCCGGTATATACCAATAGCGCGGACGGTAACCATTTGATTTTCACTCATAAAAAAAATAGTGGAGAAGAGAAATGAAAGGAATTGTTAGTAATGGGTTCTAGTAGCCCCATTGCTAGCAATATACCTCATCAGATCGACAGCGACGCGATTCCCTCTGGAAGCCATTGTGGTTAGTTATCTTTTATCCTCGTTTACCAGAGAGAGACATTGTACAAAAGTCGATTGCTTGAGTACCTCTGTCCCATTCGTGTTTCTACCTTGAAGCAGTTGTGTTTGCAAGGCTGTGTTTCGGTTTGAAGGGTGGGATATGGCGTGAATTTACTGGGTACAGAGGAATAACACCTGAGTCCTCAGGAATGGCAATGCATGGGGGTATCATGGGTGAAACAGTATACTCTGTTATGTCCATGGTACTGCTCATGTCTATAGGCGACGGTTACCACTTTCCATCAGGTGGGCCGTCACCTTGTTTGTCATTCTAAGTTGAATAAAAAAAAACTGATGTGATAAATTGTAAACAAATGAAATAAAAAATTCGCTATTTGTTTATTATTTTGTGTTAGATCGATACTATAAGAAGAGAAGAAAATATTTGGAATCGCAGACCAGTACAAAACCCCAACTGCACAGGGCTGACCTTATTTTATCCAACTCGACTTCACTGTGTACTTACTCTTTACACGACATGAAAAAGTTAAACTCGGAAGCAACGGATATGTTTGATTACATCCTCCCAAATCCGAATGTAAAATCAGAATGTGACAACCCTAAAAATGCTTGTAAAATGTCAATTTAAACAAAAGAGTATTTACCAGCGATACTGTTGATATATTTATATATATATGTACTAGTATTTAGCAGCGTGACCAAGATGTATATATATGTATATATATATATAATGAGTAGGGATATATATTTACATTATTACATGTATCACATCTGCATATTTAGAAATAATAGAATTGTCATCGTGCCTCTGATCTGCCTCCAAAGGTTGCCTGGAAGAGATCGCTTTTAGCGATAAGATCGCCCATTGTTTTCTCATTGTGATTATTTCTTGT